GTGCAAGGTGTGGTGATGGCGTCTCACTGTTCGCCAACGTCTCTGCAGCAGGCGTGTGAGGTGGCCGCTGCGGCGTGGCTGGTGCAGTGGTCTGGACTGGTGGGCCAAGTGACCGACCGAGCCTCCGCCCCTTACAGACAGCCTCTCCCACTCAGGGACTCGGCAGCACATCTTCGGGTTCAGGGCGGAGGCAAGAGTCGAATCTCCTCTACGTCGAGCTGCGACACTCCCCGCGCCTGTAGATGCAGAGCTTCTTCCCTGAAGGCTGCTTCTGGACTACAGGTTCACAAAGGGGCGGAAGTGAGGTCGTCGAAAACGTCTGGGCGTAGTAAAGCCCCAAGAACGACTCCAGTCTTGCAGTACGAGGAGCCTCATTCTGCCCCGAGTCACGGACTGAACGAGACAGCTGTGAATCTTTTTCACAGCCACGCACAACCCTTCACCGACGGTACTTGCTCTATAGATCGCCCGTCTCCACGCAGCACACAAGCTTTAAGTTTCCCTACGTTGATAAAAACAACTACCTCAACCGACCTTTGTAGAGATATATATAATAACATAGTTAGAGAAAATGTAACACAGTGTTCTTCATTCTTTAAAAGCCACCTGCCTCCTCTTCTGATCAACCAAATCCTTAGCACCGCCTGGAGGCTGATGTCCCAGCAGGTCGCCCTCGGAGGTCGACTTGAGGCTGTCCCCGAGTACCAGGTGGTTGACTGGGCGCGGCGAGCTCCAGTGCTGCTGAGACTGGCGGGGGCTCTGGCACGGCGCTCCTTCCCGCTCGATCTTTCAGGTGTCCCCGAAACTTGTCTTGACGCTCTGATGGCAGAGATGAATGAAAAACTGCCTCCGGATCAAGTCAGTAGACTGGTGCTCCCGAAGGCCAAGTTCAAGTCTTGTAAATCCGCTGTGCTAGAGTGCCAAGGCATTTTGCTACAGTTCCTGAAGAAAACTAATCTCGTAAGCCTAACGCTTCATTCAGACCTCTGTGATAACTCAGCCCTTGAGACTATTTCTACTCTGTCATTGCAGGAACTTGATATTGGCAGCAGTACAGTTACAGAAGAAGGTATAATCAGTAAGTTGTGTGGCTTGTCATTTAAAACAGGTAGTGAAGTAGTTGAGGCTCTTAGAGATTGTCGGTGTTCATCAACACACCTTAGTAAGTATCTACGGAAATTTAGCATGTCATTTCAGAACATCTCATCTTCAGTCTATCATCTCATCTTGTTATTGTTTCCGGAGTTACATTTTTACAATCCTCACAGGGACATCAAACCATATATCCGTGAATATGCAAGACTTGGGTTATCACTGGAAAAAGAACCTGTTAGTACTACTGCAAGAAAACTGAAGTTGCAGAAGATTTCCTTGGGTAATGCCACAAGGTCTGAAATTTTGGAAGTTAGTAGGCTCTGTCCATCTACAAGAGAAATATCTCTGAATGTTGAACTGAATGCTGAGGAGACCCTAAATGCATTAGAAGCCTTTACTCAGTTGACAGACTTTAAACTAAATTATTATCCATCCTTTGCTTCTTCGGCTCCTAAACTCAATGGGTCTATTCTATTGCCACTTCTCCTGACTTACAAAAACCAGATCAACAGTCTCAGTCTTACAGGCTTTAACATATCAGATAAATGCCTGCACGAACTTTCTCAGCTACCTGAACTGAAGTCTTTGTCAATGGCAGATTGTTGGCTGTCAAATCCTAAAGGTCTTTCTCCAGACCCATTTTCCAGTTTGGAGAAGCTTAGCCTGCAGTTTCTGCCACCAAATTCAACAATGCATCTTCTCACTTCTGGTAAAAAATTACATAGCCTTAGTTTTGACTTTGTTGCTTCAGAATGGGAGGGCAGTGCTCTCTCTGACACCCATGTGAAACAGCTTGTGATCTCTGGAAAGCTAAATGCATTGCAGTCATTCACTGTTGCTTCACCCTATCTGACTTTGGCCTCTGTTAAGAGCCTGACCCTCCTTCCAACCCTCAGGAGCGTGGGCCATCTTGCTCGCTGGGGACTTACTGATGAGGAACTTCATTGCATTAATCATTCTGGACCTCCTCACCTCATCTGCATACAATAATTAGTTTGGGAGTAAATTATTCCCTTACCATGTTTAGGATAATCCTACTAAAAGGATGATTAACTTTCCTGTGATATATATGAGAATACATAAGTAAGAGACAATACCCCATATATCAGGGTAGATTTAATGTTAACTTGTTACATTTAAAACATACCATTTTTCTCATATCATACACACATATTTTTTCCATAACATTGCAGTGTTTCATGCTTCACAAGTCATTGCATACAGGCAGTTTACAAGAATTTTGGTCTTCCCTACACTCTTGCTGCTACTGTGGTAAACAAATGAGTTAAAATTGCAGTTTTATCTTATATTCATTATTAAAATAGAGCAACAAAATGTGATAACTCTTTTTCTGCTGAGGCAAAGAAAGTGAGACTAATTTCTTTACTAATATGATATTGTTAATATTATGTTACAATTACATGATACTTGTGTTAATTTTAAGTTTATCTTTGGCAACAGACAGGTGAATGAATGCCTGACCAACTAGATTAAGCATGTTACTGATGTGATATCAATGTAATGTGATTTTTGTTTTTTATTTTTCCAAAAGATTTCTTGCAATCGACATTCAATTCAGTCATTACACTTTTACACATATATTTGTTATTTTATAAAGCACTTGGAATGATCGATACCAGCAGAATCCACATAAATATAATTGGATTTAGAAGTTACCTTAACTAGAATTACGAATGTTCAGAGAAAGTTAAGTAAATGGCAAAAAATATATAAGAAAAATTCTGATGTATATTTTGAGTTGTATGTGAATATCTAAAAAATATATATATTATGAGTAAGCTGTCTCAAGCATAAATGGAGCACACACAAAAAAGAAGAAAAAAAAAGTTCAAATTATATGGTAAGTAAAAACTGGTTGTTCTGGTTGCAACAGTGATCTCAATACTTTCACAAACAAAAAAGTATTAGTAATTGAATTATCATACTCAACATTTTACATTTTTACAGGTTTATTTTTTGTCTGTCGCAGTCTCTATCTGTTTGCTTTATGTCTCTGTCTGTCTATCTGTCTGTCAGTCTGTCTGTCAGTCTCTCTCTTTCTCTCTCTCTCCCCCCACCACCACTTCCTCCCTAAAGGAGTTAAGAAATGTGCACATAAGCTAAAGCTATTCAATATCTAATCCCAAAAGCTAAAAATTGACAAATGTTTAGTTAAATTAAAAATTCAGAACAAGAACACTGTACCTATCAGACTGGAGACTAGACAAGACGAATATGGATAACTACCCTAAGAAAAAATAATGCATCGTATAATAAGATATTCTCAACAAGTGCACAAGATGACCACAGCCATCTATCAAAATTCAGAAATTGATGGAACTCATCACCATTACCCTTGCTTTATCTTAGAATTTGTTTCAGATATCTTTTGTATTCTCTTTATTTCATTAATCCAATAAAGTCATCACAGCATTTCTAATACATCTTATTTCACTGTTTATGATTTCTCACATCATCTTACCTATTTGACAGTCCTTTTGATTATACTCTCTCCCTTCTCCCATTCTTTTTTTCTTTCTTTCTTTCTTTCTTTCATTTTGTAAATAGACTGGTAGATTTATGGGATTAAACCAATAATATTGTTTCCCTAGATAAACCCAGTAATTATGATTAAAACTGTCAGACAGATTCAGAGAGAGATAGTCAGCAGCACAGAAACAGACAGAAAGACAGACAGTGAAGACAGAAACACAGAAAGATAAGAGCTAGAGATATGGGAAAGATAGATTACAAAAACAAGATAGGAAGAGATGGGAGGGTGTTAGAGAAAAGAGAGGAGACAGAGAATACAAAAACAGAGCAAATGAGAGAGAGGATGGTGCTACATAGAAGATAAAATATCTGATTATTTGCAATATTCACATTTTCCATTTGTAGATACAAATATATAATTGCAGATCTTTTATTGCAGATACCAACACGTCACTAAAACTAATTATATTTGGTAACTGACAGGTTTACATAATTTTTAAAACAATTTTTAAGTTGCAATATCAACACAATTCCATGGCTTATTAGCAATCTCAGCAGAATAAAGTTAAAATCTTATGCATTATTAAAAAAAAAATCATATGATGCATTAGTATGTTTGAACATTGAACTTTTGCCAATTTTATATAAAATAATGTTACACAGTGGGAGCCAAGAGATGCCTCAATATTTCAGAATATTTCACTGGGAGATTTTATAGTTGTAATATTTTTTATAGCTTACTTATATACAAAATGCCTGACAGTACTGGTGACATAAAGAATGACTGTTTTTTCAAAGTATATTTGACAAAACATACATCACAACTCAAACCATATTTTGTTACATTACCTTTCATTCAAACACAAATCTCATACACAACTCAATTCTCAAATGTCTATAAAACACAAATCAATTTATATTTTTTTTATTTTTAATCTGCTTCATAATCCTGAGGAGAATACACCAAAATATACAGGCAAACTCAAAATCAAACCTTCTTTGCTAAACAATAAAGACACTGGTACCAATAACTGGGTATTTGTCTCATAACACAAAAACTCTAATTAGCAAACTATTCTTTCCTTCTTTGTTTAAATTACATTAATTTGTAATATGTACATAAATATAAGATTTAACTATGCATTTACATTTTTCAAAAAAATTAACTGGAAGAACATTGAGGTGATTGGTGCTTTCTCAAGGCTAGCTCCATCACATCCGAATCCACTGGGGCATTGGTAAAAATGGAGCCTGAAAAGTATATTCGAAAGTTTAATTTTATGGAGATTTTTCATTTTAGATTCATGCAACGAGGCATAAATTATTAGGTTCCCACAGCAATGTATAAAATCTTAAAACAACAATTGCATGATTCTAAACATCTTTATGGTTAATGTCCTATCATATGCATG